TTTTTTTTTTTCGTTTGCTTCTGGTCAATTTCTCACTAGCATCAACCACTCCATGATCTCTTTAATCCCAAAGTGCCAAAACCCTGATCTAATATCCCGGTAGACCTATTAGTTTATTGTTAAAATTCTCGCTAAAAGATGGAAAAAGTGTCTTCCTTTTTGCATCAGTGAAAATCAGTCTCCCTTTGTGTTTGATAGACAAATTCTTGATAATGTGCTTATTGCCTCGGAAGCCATTCATTTTTTGAATAGACATAGAAGTGGTAAGAATTCTTATATGACAATTAAGTTATATATGTCTAAGGCTTTTGATATGGTAGAATGAGATTGCGTTAGACAAATTCTGACCAAGCTTGGGTTTCATTCTCTTTTTGTTAAGTGGGTCATGTCATGTTTATCATCTACTTTTTTTCTTTTAATTTCAATGGGGAAGTCAGTGATTATCTGAAACCCTCTAGAGATATTAAACAAGGGGACTCACTGTTCCTTTATATCTTCATTTGGACTCTGAAATTGTCACTAACTTGTTAAATATGTTTTCCAATCAATGTTTATTCAATGGGTTAAAAATTTGTAAAAAAGGCCAGTTTTCACCCATTTGTTCTTTGAAGATGATACTTTAATCTTTTGTCACAGGAGTATTGACATTGATACTACTTGTTATCATTCATTTGTAAAAAAGAGTGTTGACATTGATACTACCTCGTCTATTTGTTGTGAATCAGTTGAAACTGTTGAGCACTTATTTTTTTCTCGGTAATTCTCCCCTATCCACGGTGGACACATGTTAATATGTCCACCGTTTATGTGGCATGCACACATTGGTGATGTTAATATGTTCAAAAAAATATATCACCAATGTCTGCATGCCACATAAGCGGTGGGCATATTAACATATGCCCACCGTGGGTAGGAGAGCATTACTGTATTTTTTTCTTGCCACAGAGTTTTGGAAGTTGAATCCTCTCCAATGGGATGGTCTCTTCAGCTTCACAGACTCCTTCAAAGGCTTGGTGGTATCAAGTATGCTCCCTTGATCATTCAGAGGTGGCCGAGGCTAGAATCCAACTCACAACATATATGCTTTGGTGGCTTTGAAAGTCAAGGAACTTGTGGATCTTTCAAAACTCCTTAATTCCAGAACACACTTTCATCAAAATGGCTCAATTTGATTGGATGGAATTCTCTCTAGTTGTTTAGTTATTCTTTCTTTGTCTGCTTTCATTTTCCTTTTCTCTTTTCTACTTTGTTTTTGAGTGGTACTTCTTGCTAGGCTTTATAGCAGTATCATGTGTTTTAACTATTTGGTTTTTCTGTTTTTCTTGTTAGTTGGTTTTTATTTGGACTGGTAGTTGGTTGGTTTGTTGAGGCTCTAGACTGCTTCATGTTGTCTCTCAGTTTATTGTTTTAATCTGCTTTATTTCGCCTTGTATTCAAACTATGTTCGCTTTGAGTTTTATAATAGTTATCTCTGTCATTTTGAGAAAAAAAAAATAATTAATAAAAATTAATAATAATGTGCCTTGAATATTTTTCATTACATAAAATAAAAAGAAAAAGAAGACGTGACAACAAAGTTTATATAAAATAATAACTAAGTATTATATGGTGAACACGAATAATCAAAACTGTTATTTTCTCTTATATCTCACCACGAATAATCAAAACTGTTATTTTCTCTTATATCAAGAAATAAATATATATCCTAAAATCAAATTTATATTAGTATAAATGTGTTAGTGATATAATATATTAATTATTTACAAGTTAATCATAACATGCTCATATTTAATGTTCTTGCTAAAAAAACAAGTGATTAGAAGAAGTGGAAAATATATTATAACTCTATTGTTTTTTAGACTTAACGTTGATTAAAAAGGTAGAAAATAGATGATAATCATATTGCTATATAGACTTAAACGGACAAACCTGTGAAAATAACTCATTTAACGTCTATTTTCCGTACATCGCACATGGTACATACTAGTATTATATGAATGAAAAATAATTGCATATGACGAATAAAAAAGGGAATAACTGTAGACAACTTATTTATAAAAATGAAGCAGGTGTGTCGTTGTACTATGATTTTCAATTAAAATTATAGTATTATATTTGTATCCTTCAAACAAAAGTTACATTTTTTTTTTTCGAGAGTAGTATTAACAATTCAAATTTCTATTTAAGTATGGATGGATGAGCTACAAATCATCATTATCAACTCTAATTTAAAATCACAAATTACATTTACGTCCTTAAAAATAACATCTTTTGACGATAGCATGGGTTCAAAATTTTCAGTAAATCACTCATTTTTTTAAGAGAGTTATAGATTTATAGATTTGACCAAGATTGTGCATTCAGATAAATTTAGAATATATTAATTACCTTTGAATTTTCTTCCTACTAATTATAGTAAATGAGATACCCTTTTATATAAGTATAGATTTACAATTTACTATATGGTTATAAAAAGAAATGATATTAAAATACAATTAATACATTTAACATGACCATAAATAATCAACATATTTATGGATAATTCGAACCTAATTATTTTTTGAATTGGAAGTAAATTAAGATTTACCCAAGCCTAATAACGAACCATGTAATTTTGTCAAATAGGATTCCGAAGCATGAGCTCAACCCGTTTTGAATTAATATATTAGGAGATATTTTTACCAGCTTAAAAAAAAATAAAAATAAAAATGACAGCTCAAGTGGTTTCCAACCCCTGCCATCCCAATCAATACCCTCTCAAAATCAGGAATTGATAATTACATTATAGATGCCTTCTTCCTTGAGAGCACTTCTGTGGGGGCCAAGAAAAATAAAAATGGTGAGAGGGGCACTTGCAATTATTAAAGATAGCTTGGTCCACTGTGATTGTGTTCCACTTGAAGACAGCTTTTCTAATCAACTCTTTTTCTTTGAAAAAAATCACAGTCACTAATCTTGCCAGCAGCACTTGAAAGGTATAGTTTTTGTAACTTATTCTATGAACTCTTGTGCATAGAGAAAAGGGATCACTTTCAAGGTCTTGTAGAGAGGGAGGGTCTCATCTTCACGATTTGTTGGTCGTCCACGCCCATCCTTTTAGCGGCAAAACCGGCTTCGAAAAAGCTCTTGACCGCACTCTCCATGTACTCTTTCCCTTGCCTCACGCTCATGTTCTTGCCGATCTTCGTGGGGTAGCTCGTCAGTATATCTTCTCCTTTGAGAACAGCTGCAAGCTGTATAAGCTCTTGTTGAAACTCACTCACTTGGGCATCCTCATTTGCTTCTCCCTGCCTTATTTCGACTGGACTGGGGAGTTGCTCTGCACGGCCAACATTGATTAATAAAACAAATGAAATTCAAGAACTATAGTACAATTGAGCAATTCTCGACTAGTTGTATAGCAGCCATGTTATTTTTTCGAACTCCTAACATGTTCTGTATTGCACAAAACAATGGAACATAGACTATATGACTAACCAGGGCAATCAGTTCTGGGCTCCTTGAGGATATTAAGAATGCTGTCGAAAGTGCCTGCCCATTCCTCTCTCTTTGTAAGAGGCGGCGATGTCAGGTTGAAAATCTTCCGTACGGTGGCCGGAATTGAAGAGTGCTCGTATTCCGATGTTGGAGTAGGCGAGCCGTTGGGGCCATGAACAACTGCACAAATTTACATAATTTTACCATACTACATATGTAGTGATTACCAAACAAGCTAGGTTTTCAATTACATTTACGAGCTGGCTGGCTGTTCAAGAAGTTCTAGACTACCATAGCTACCGACAGCTCTCTATTACGATAAATCGTCGTTTTCGAGCTCTCTGTTACGACAAGGACAGGTTCTCTGTTCCTGAACATTCATTCATTGTAGATTGACTACGATGGTTTTCTTTTCATTGCGGCTATTTAGTGCCTTTCGATTTTACACTGGAGGACCAATTTTTCATCATCTAAAGCATAAAAGCAGACAACACATAATGTGCCCCACAATTTGGAACTCTAACCATCGCATTTATCATTAGGTTGTTGAGGGATAAATGGGAAACCTCTTTATCCATTACCATCAAAAGGTAGTGTGAAATGGTGCAGCAAAATGTAATCAAATGAGGCTGATGAAAAATAAAGAATCTGTAAACCAGCTTTACACAGTCACAAATCAATTAGTTCATACTGATAAAAACTCAAGTAGCAAAATGTCATAATCACCATATGTTTTTTGAAAGAATCTTACCGGTTCCCTTGTTGATCCACGCCGAGACGGCAATAGTCGGGACTCTAACTCCTAACCGGTCGAATTTGAAGTAAAACGGGTCGGGCCCCACGATCCCATCGGGGCTCGGCACACCCACATTTGGCGTGGGTACATGGTCGTAAAACCCACCGTGCTCGTCGTACGTGATCACGAGTAGCGTCTCGTTCCACTGCGGGCCCGACCTGAGCGCTTCGTAAACCTCCTTAACAAACATTTGCCCCTGGTGCACGTCGTGAGAAGGGTGGTCGTCGTTTGCTGGCTCGGCTTTCGAGTCCATGTACCTCTGCTCCACCACCGTGTAGCTCGGGAGCTTCCCGTTCTT